GCCCAGAGACACTTTGGCATGTGGACTGGACAATGAAGCACCAACCCTACAGTTAAGGGACACCCTGGCTTTACCTCCTGAGCCACAGGCACACTATGTCCACGCAGAAGGCGTAGCAGACGAAGCAGCAGCAGCTTCTGTGGTCTCTCTGTGTCTACACAGGAGGCATTCAGGTGCAGTACTGAGCAAAATGTCACCCATGTTTTGGAAGTGATCAGAGCCCAATACACAACACTGTTCTTACATGAAAATAGATCTGAAACATAAGAAATATGCTTTGAAAAAGGTTTCTGGGCATGAGAAAAATATGACCTGTTACAACTGAACTTATTAAAATCGAAGCTGTTCCATCAGACGCTCATAAGATGGACAAATGAAAAACGTAGCTGAGACACTTTCTGCGTAGACACTGTGTTAGCAGTTGAACGGTACCAAATTGAATAATGCCCTCAAGGATAGTGCTTTGTGTGCAAAGGGTTGAGGATATCTGAGAACTTCAGTGAACTTTAATGAGAGGTCTTGGAGAGTTTTAGATTTAAATTGAGCAATGACAGTTGGTCAGAGTATGCATCACATTTCTCCAAAGTTTCTTTTTGTGGATTGAAATTTGTAAAGAAACTTGGAAGATACAAAACTGATGTTGTAGCGACGACAGGAGAAAAGAATAAGAAAAGGAAAGAGGAGGAGGGAAGTGGGGAGCAGAGGAGTTGAAAGGCTTCTTTTAAATCAACTGTCAACAATGCAAGAAATTATCAAGGGAGACAAAAAAACCTGGGGAGACGGGGCTCCGGAGAGCGAGAGAGGCAGGGAAGGATGGAGGAAGGGAGGGAGTCAAAAAGAAAGAGAGGAGGAGGGTAAACATTACAGCTCTGTGCCAAGCAAACATGAGATGCTGGGATACTTCAACAAAAAGCCACCGTTCATGTGGGAGAGAAAGACAGACCAAGAAAGAGAGAGAGAGAGAGAGTGCGAGCATGAGACGGAAAGACAGAGGAAAATGCTGGGAAACGGAAAGTGAAAGCATCAAACAGCAGATAATCAGCTGCTCATGAGACCGAAAATGAAGTTGTGCTGTTTTTCCTTTTGGACATAGAACCTACATTTTGGTTTCATAGCGCGTGTTTGAATGGCATAACAGAGATTTACAGGTATAACCCTGCCTACACGCCAAAGGAAGTAGCTGTACATGCTAATGCAGGACATACGTTTAATAATTTGTTTTTCTTTGACACATCTGAATTAAGGTACTGATCAGGCAAATCAAGCTATATGAAGACATCACACTCTGGGAATATAATGGCTGTTTTAACTATTTCCTAACTATTTTTATGAACAATTAATTTATTAATGGTGAAAATGATGAGAAGATGAATCGAAACAACAATTTATTGCAGGCCGAATAATGAACAAGTCATTGTACCATCTAGAGCTTCCCTGCACTCCATCATAAGTCAAAGCTGTCACAGCTGAGACTGTTTGTCAAGGCAAACACACCAGTCTGTTTTACTGCACATCATCAGGACAGAGGGGTCAGAGAGACAACGGGAAGCAAAAACCAGAGAGACTATACTCCTGCACTCTGGGTATTGACCCCTTCAATTCACAGTAGAGGATCACCTCCCCACATCCAACCCACCAATAAGAAACCCTCTCATCGCAGGCAAAGAAGCAGGAAGCAGCTCATTCACTTGATCAAAACACATCTCGGCTCCAGAAGCAGTGAAGGCAGCACTCTTTCTGGAGAGCACACCTGTTGCATGTGGAGAAACAGATGGCACGACTGATCACAGACTTTATATAAACTGCAGACAGAGCGCAGTGCTGCACATAGCAGAGGAGGACCAATTAAAGGGACCAAATATTCCAACTATGTGCAGCTGATCAAGGCCAACTGGAGCATTCTAAGTAGTCATGACAGGACATGTACATAGGAGTTGTGGCCATTAGTATAGCAACTATTATCATACATGACAAATGAATATCTGCACAGACTTAGCATCTCTTTATTTTCTAAAGCTTTCGAGGTTTATGCACCAGTTTCATGAAGTAACTAGAACTGGAACCAACAGCTATTTTCATTATTAATTCATCTGACAATTATTTTCTGGATTAATCATTTACTTGGTCAATAAAAGAGTAACAAAAAACTGAGTGTATTGTGATCCCACCTGCAAAGTGAATAGAAAATGTCTTGTCAGTTAATGAAATAAGAATTTTGTCCTTTTAGACAAATCAAATCAAATCAATGTCTTTCAAAATGTAGAATTTCATGCACAGAGGTTTGGCAGCTGGAATCAGCATTAGGGTGTCAGGATAGTTCAAACAGCTTGGAGGTTTATCAGAAGTTTTCCTCTTCTTCCACTTGCTCACACACACAGTCCAGGTCTGGGTTATCTTGTTGTCTGTGTAACTCTATAGCCGCTCCAGCTTCTGTTTCTCATACACAAGCACTGTTCAGTAACACTAGACCACAAATAACATTCTAAGTTACCAGTCAGACACGCATACAGCATCCAACCCCTTTCCTGACCCCATTTCGAAAAGGTGTACCTGAAGGTTTTACCGGGCCAAGACAATGGCGAACCATAGGCCAGTGTGGGTGGAAAGCGGAGAATCTAGATTATGCCAAACTTTAGATGAAGACAGATGCTCTTGACATCACAAGTCCTCATGAAACATGAAAACAGCTTCCTCATTGCACCCAGAATAACCAGTGTGAGAATATTAGAGGAAAACCACCTTGCCACTATAACACAACCAGACCGTCAAACCCAGGTCATGTCGTTCTTAGCGTCTGCCTGCTGGAGCGGTCGTGTATCCACACACACTGCATACACACACTGAATTACTTGCAATTGCATCACTTTGAGTGCAAATCTCCGATTACATTATTCCACTGTATTTCTACCACATTCCTAACTCCTACAAATGTAAAACTGTCATTTAAAAATGCACAAATAAAAAAATGAATTTTTTTAAATCTGTTAAATACAAGGTAAACACAAGAGGGCTTTTATACCTTTTCAAATAAAGGCCTGCGAGCTGTGTTTACATTCTCATTGTGTATAGATGTTGTAGCCAAAGAGGCTTAACTTTCAGAGATCAGTGTTCAGTGACATAATCCTTAGTCAGAAGGATATGGGTGCAGTGCTTAGCCTGTGCACAAACACACTTTATTCTTTGAAAATATGGCTTAAGGATGATGATCAGCCCAACCAAGCACCTGGGACTCAGACCTGCAGCTTTGTTTGTTTTTTTTTTTTTTTTTTTAATACAGTGATCCCTCATTTCCATGATATTTTCCAATCTGTTTCACATGTATCACAGCTGCACAGCTGACGTGAGCTGCAGGTCTTGATCAGAAACCTTGACAAATTAAAGAAAGAAACGTTTTGGGGCTGTAGAGCAGAGCCTTCCCAAACCTAACCTGAAATCCAATCTTAACTACCAAAAGCTAAATGAGGGTCAGATTTAGAAATTCAAAAAAGGACCTTGAGAGCACTCCAGAAAAAGAGGGATATCATGTCCCTTTCATTTTAAAATGTATAACTTGCACATGTCTCAAGGCTCCACTGTAATTTAAGCTTCATCTCCTTCTTATTGCCCACACCTTGGTGTATTGTCTGCAGAATGAAGTCAGTCTTTTGATGCCCCTGACCCAAAGGAGAAGCTCAACCATAAACACACCAACACACTGTTTCAGCTGCTAGCTATCCCTTCATCTCAGCCCCTAAAAACTGTAGGATTTGCGTTTTTTGTAGAAAAAAAAATTTGCCCAGCCACACCAGCCTTTCAGCAAAGGAAAGTCATATGACGTCATGTGTTTGGACTCGGACGTCTCCTTCTTCTTCTCTCTCCACCGAAAAAAGAAAGCCTGAATGTGTGTTTGTGTGATGTGTTAGGTTATCACCCCCCACCCCCTCCGCCGCTAACATGACAGCGTGATAATTAGTCCTGTTGTCCAACTAAGGCAACAGACGCAGAAGTCATTGTCGCATCTTAAAACTTCTGGGGGCTTTCTGTGCCACATCCCTGGTTGTCCTCCTCACTGATTACTTTACGCGCCCTGTTGTCTTTTCACGTAGGTAACGTGGAAAGCAGATAATCGATCATTTGAAGCAGGAGACCAATGTTTGATTTCCACGTCTGCATCAGAGAGACTCAGAGAGATTTGTCTTTCCTGCACAAACAGACACA